AGTTAAGTGTCTGCCTTAAGCTCTGGTCAGGATCCCAGGGTCCTGGGATAGAGCCCTGCGTCGGGCTCCCTGCTCAGTGGGGAGTCTGCTTCTACCTCTCCCTCTCCCTGCCACCCCTGCTTGTGCTCCCTCTCTCTCAAATAATTAAATAAAATCTTAAAAAAAAACTGCAAAACAATTTTATTATTATGAATTGTGAGAGGAAGAACTTTTATGTTTAGACAATAGAATGACAGCCTAAAAGGACATTTTTCATAGCAGGCTGATAATAAATCTGACAAGTGGCTAGCTTTTTAAATATATTTTCAATCCCACTCTAGGGTCCTGATCTTATTTTGTGCTACATTCAAACCTCCCTCCAGACTGACCTTTAACTAGCTGTGAGTAAATTTACTGACCCATTGGCTACAATATTAACCTCTGGAAATTTGAGATCCACCGAAAAGCACTATTTTTACACATTTAAAAAACTGTTGTTTCACTGATCCATGCCTAAGATACTACCATCAACAAAACCATGCCGTGCCAAATTCTACCTTCCTGGGCTAAGTTTGGTGTGGGTGGGAAGAAGCTATGGTGGGAGTGAGGAGCGGAAAGGCAACACATTGAGATAAGATCTTTCTACATTTGTACTGTATTTCATCAAGTTAGAGCAGGGCCAGAACCAAGTCTCCTGTCTCCCAGAGAATTTTTTTCATGCCCCCAAAAGAAAAGGGAACTCAGAATAATAAAGACATGTGTTACTCTTTTTTTTATTAAGCACTTATCATGATCCAGGCACTGTGCTAAGTTTCTTAGATGGTTATTCTACTTAATCCTCACAACAACCCATGAGATATTATTATCCTCATTTTACCTAAGAATAAACAGATTAAAAAATAATAATCAGAAAACAATCCTATGGTACCCAAATCACAAATTTTGCTCCATTCTCTTTCTTCCTGAATCAGTTTTCTTAATCTGTTCTTTATCAAAAAAAGTAGTATTTCTAACAACATATCACCTAAATTTTACTTGTCATTAAATATTCACTTCTACAGCACTATATATATTTTTAAAAGTCCTACAATTCTTTTTGTTTTTCTTCTTCCTTGGCCCTCAATCAGCTCTGAGACATCTCAGAAAGCAGCACTTACTCCTCTCATTTTAGACGTGAAGATCCCAGGCCATTCCCATCAGAGGCAATTCCAAACACCTCAACACGCCACTAGACCCAATCACCTCACACTGAACTGACAACCCAGCTGCCAGTGTTACAGAGATAAGAGAAGCCATCGGGCAAGAATTTTATTTCTCTCTGCCCTCACTTACACCTAAACTTACCTTTATCTGTATACTTTCTTCTCTCATAAGTCAGAGAAAAAGGATTCATTCTTCTGTCCTCAACACTAATATGTGCCCTAGATCCCATTCCCTCCTAGCTATTTCAAGTCTTTACTCCACCAGTTAATCATCTCAATTTTCTGTTCCTTCAACCTCTCTCTCCATTGGCTAATTTCCCTCAGGGAACCAATATGCATGTACATTATTTGCTTCCACCTAAAAGCAAACAAACAAAAACCTTTCTTGTATCCCATATTCCTCTTTACTGCCCTGTCTCTCCTTTCATTCTAAGCTAAGCTCCTTGAAGGCATAATTTAGACTGGCTGCCTCCATTTACTTTCTCCCATTCACTGAAACATGAATTCTGCCCTTACTGCTCCACAGAAATTGCTCTCCATGAAGTCATTAAGAGCTCTTCAACACCAAATCTAAAGACACTTTTCAGTTATCAAACCTTTATCCTGACTCAAACCTCTGAGTTCCAGTATCCAAATCCAAATGGGCTAGACTCCTAAACTCCTGCTCTTAATCATTCTGCTAGACTGCTTCAAAGTAATCATACTTACAGTTACTGATTTCCTTCTCCACCTCAGCCCCTGCAGTTAGTAACCAAATTCCAATCCATAAATGATAAATCTCCTAAATATCTCTGGAAGCAGTTTCCTACGGGTGATGACTTCCAAACACCCAACTCAGAAACTTAATGGTTATTTTAAACCCCCGACAAGACTCAGACCGTATCAGAGGGAATAATCACCTCTCTTCTGTGATTTCCCTCTTCCGTGGATATATTCAACACTACCCTGGAATCACAGACTTTTCGAAGTGGAGGGGAATGTCATTTTATAACCGAGAAACAGAGGCTGAGTGTTTTACTTATTGTCAGCTTTGCACAGAGCCCGGAATACAAGGGAACTGATAGTATGTACCTGTGGGGAAACATTTATCGGGCGAATCACAACCTCTGTAAAAGTTTCATTTTGCACCTGGCCTCAATGACTTGTTTTCAGATTTAAATGGGATCTCTTTTTAAACTATGAAAGCATTAAATAAATGAGTAAGTACTAGTAGTTAGCATCTGAGAAACGACCCCTTCTTCTCCTTGCCCACAAACCAACGTCAGTGGTTCTAACCCTACTTTGCCCCACCGGATTACTCAATGCTGACCCTGCAGTCCAAGGAGGTCTGGTTGTCAGTCCCCACACACTCACCCCTTAAAGATTTCTGTTAACAGCTGAGTCAACTATGAGGACTTAGCGAAATTCTCCCTTCAGACGGAAAGGCTTCTAGAAAAGGGACAACCGGAGCTTCCCTGACACAGTCCACGTGCCCACAATAAGCCGTAGGGGGTCAGTCTTCCGCGAAAACGCAGTCCCAGAAAATCCAAAAAAAGTCAATCACAGTCGAACTTTAGCACAAGCTACACCCTCCTCAATTCTGATTGGTGAGGTGCCCTCTTTGCGGAAGTGATGCTCACACACCCGGAAGGGGAGTCACGGAAGAGGGGTGCTTTTTCCGTACAGAAATCCCCGAGGTGGGTACTGCAGAACGAAAGAGGGCTCACCCCGGTGACGGACCGCCGCTTCTCTCCCTCACCTCGGCCATGGGCCCGCGGAGCCGCGAGCGTCGGGCGGGGGCAGTACAGAGCACCAACGACAGCAGCGCCCTCAGCAAGAGTTCCCTGGCCGCGCACGGGTACGTGCACGACCCCTTTACCGCGTTGCTCGTTCCGGGGACCGCGCGGCGCGCGCCGCTCATCCACCGCGGCTACTACGTCCGCGCACGCGCCGTGGGGCATTGCGTGCGTGCCTTTCTGGAACGGACGTGCGCGGCCCCCGGCGCTCCTCGCGCCCAGATCGTGTCGTTGGGAGCGGGTTCAGATTCGCTGTATTTTCGCTTGAAAACTGCGGGCTGGCTGGCCGGTGCTGCAGTCTGGGAAGTCGATTTTCTGGACGTCGTCCGGCGCAAAGCGGAGAGGATTCAAGATACGCCGGAGCTGAGCGCGTTAACCGGGCCTTTCCAGAGTAGGGACCCTGCGTCAGCGTTGTGCTTTGAGAGTGTGGACTACCGCCTCCTAGGCCTGGACCTGCGGCAGCTCCCGCGATTGGACCAGGCCCTGGCCGCCACCGGCCTTAACGCGGCCGCGCCCACTCTGCTCCTAGCTGAGGCCGTGCTGACCTACCTTGAGCCGAGTGATGCCGCGGCCCTCATCGCCTGGGCAGCCCAGCGTTTTCCTGATGCCCTTTTCGTGATCTACGAGCAGATGAGGCCGCATGACGCCTTTGGCCAGGTCATGCAGCAGCATTTTCGGCAGATCAATTCTCCCCTGCACGGCCTAGACTGCTTTTCCGACGTGGAGGCCCAGCAGCACCGCTTCCTTCAGGCTGGCTGGACTGCCTGCTGTGCTGTGGACATGAATGAATTCTATCGCTGCTTTCTCCCCTCAGAAGAATGCCAGCGCATGGAGAATCTTGAACCTTTTGATGAGTTTGAGGAGTGGCATTTGAAGTGCGCCCACTATTTCATTCTGGCCGCTTCTAGAGGAGACACTCTCTCCCAAACTCTGGTGTTTCCACCCTCAGAGGCATTTCCTCGAATAGATCCTGCTTCTCCATCAGGCGTCTTCCCTGCCAGTGTAGTCACTAATGACAGCAAGGGCCCAAACCTTAAGAGATATGGGCATGCCTCTGTCCTTTTGAGCCCAAGCATTATTCTTAGTGCAGGAGGATTTGGAGAGCAAGAGGGACGGCATTGCCGAGTGAGTAAGTTTCACTTGCTCTCAAGATATTGTGACTTTGAATGGAAAGGCAACCAAATACACAGTTGTGGGACTGGAACCCAGTGGGATGGACGCCTTTATCACACCATGACAAGACTTTCAGATACCGAGGTTTTGGTTCTGGGAGGGAGACTGTCCCCAGTAACTCCAGCCTTGGGGATTCTCCAACTTCGTGTCTCTAAGAGTAAGGATAATAGCACTGAGGACCTAAATGTGACAATAACAAAGGCCGGCCCAGAAGATTCCACGTTGTCATGTTGGCGGCATTCAACAACAGAAGTGTCCTTTGAGAATCAGAAATACTTGTTTGTGTATGGGGGTCGAAGTGTGGCAGAACCTGTACTAAGTGACTGGCATTTCCTACATGTGGGGACAATGGCTTGGGTCAGTATCCCAGTGGAGGGGGAAGTACCTGAAGGTCGGCATTCACACAGTGCCTGCAGCTGGCAAGGGGGAGTCCTTATTGCTGGAGGTCTGGGTGCTTCTGAGGAGCCACTGAGCTCTGTACTCTTTCTAAAATCAATCTCTTGTGGATTCCTCTGGGAATCAGTAGTCATCCAGCCTCCCATTACTCCAAGGTACTCACACACAGCTCATGTGCTCAATGGGAAGCTTCTGCTTGTTGGAGGGGTCTGGATTCATTCTTCCTCAGTTCCTGGAGTGACTGTAATTGATTTGACTACAGGATTGAGCTCTGAGTATCAGATTGACACAACATATGTGCCATGGCCATTAATGTTACACAATCATACCAGCATCCTCCTTCCTGAAGAGCAGCAGCTCCTGCTCCTTGGAGGTGGTGGGAACTGCTTTTCCTTTGGCACCTACTTCAATCCCTATACAGTGACGTTAGACCTTTCTTCCTTAAGTGCTGGACAGTAGGACTGAACTTTTGATATATTGAGGACCCACTAACGTAAACAATAAAGGTTTCCACAATAGGATTTGACTGTGGTTATAGACATTACTACTCCTTCCTTCTCCTGCTTTTTCTTCTCATTAGCACTACTATCCAGTGCAGAAAGTGAAGGAGGTTGTTAAAACATACCAACATTCAGAGAGATGATACAAAAATAAAACATGATTATCTGAAGAGAATGGTTATACAGTCCTAGAGTAGGAATTGGGGAGCCTTTGGATTCCTGTGTGTCTAGTTTTTTGGTTTTCCTCATCTAAGTTTATCCATTTATTGAGTTACCAGATCTTTAGCCTAAGTCAATTGAAAAATTTCCCATTCTCGGGCTTTGAAAAAATTTAACACAGATCCTTGGTAAGAATACAAGGTTGATAACTCTGATTTCTCTTCAGAGTACATAAATCTTTTGCTTTTTACCAAAGATTTCCATGGAAAGATATTGAGTTTTTAGCCAATTTTTGAGGCCTTATTTCTATGAGGCTTCTTTTAAAAAAGAATATAAGGTTGAATATGGCTGAGGAAACATGGTTTGACCTCATGCTTCATGTATGAAATCTGAAATGAACCCAGTTACCTTATCAGATATGGACATGAATAAACCCTGGGAAACAAAGGGCTTAACACCTAGGCATCTGGCAAGGCTATGGGTGGGCTGGATACTAAATAACTGGGAGGAATATGATCCGAAGGTGGAAAGGCTGCTCTGTATTTCTTGTTTCTAAATTCACCACAGACTACCTCCAACTTGCAGGAAGGATCAAAGCTGGATGTTGATGAAATGAGTGTTCTCAGCTATGTAGTAGTTAGTTCTAGAATTCTAACCTAGAAATGACTTAAAAGCCCAGGTTATACCTTCCATTATGCTACCTCTCAGATGGTGCCATCAACCATTATTATCTCATTAGCTTTGGTGGGGGGAGAGAAAAGGCGGGGGTGGGGGCGGGGATTGTCAAGAGAACGTGGATGTGTGCCAGACCTAAACTGGTAGTGCAGTGGTGCCTCTTCTCTTGAGTACTGCCTAGTGTGGTGCATTATGAGTAATTGGGCTTGTTCTCTCCAGAGAAATTACCCACATTTTCTGTAAGTGATTACCAGATTAAGCATGCCCTCCACCTTTAACCCTATACATGCATCATACTCAGTTAAGGAATTATTCGCTTCTCAAGCTCTACTCATTAGAACACTTAAAAGTTTTGTCAGCAGCATTTACTCTGTGCCTCTGGAGCAGCACTCAGTATGGACTAGTGCTGGATTCCAGTTTCATAATTAGAGATGTGGACCAGATTGAGAACTGAAGTTGGACAATGATTTTTGCTTCTCCAACTCACCGGAATATTTTTGTTCTAAAATTCTGGTATGGAGCCTGGTGCAGTTATGAGAGTTAATGAAAGACTTTTACCTCATTTAGTGATTGTACTTCTTTTTAGACCAGAAAAACTAGTTAAGGAAGGAAGACAATTTCTTATTTTGAATCTCTACTCTGTCAGGGTCTCAGAAACAGTGTATCATACCACTGAGGATATGAAAACAAAGTTAAGAACAACTCTTCTAGGATATGTTCTTCAAAGGCCAGTGCTGTCACTCCTTTGTGTGCTTTCTGGATTTTACCACCAACTGTCCATTTTTTATCTTTCTGCAAATTTAACCCTCCTTAGTGATGTTAGGAAGTTGACATGGAACAATAATGTTCCAGTAGTGCCCAGGCATTATTTGGTCTTCTCTTTCTGTGCTCTCAGACCTTGAAGTCCTGGTTTATTCTCTATGCATTTGTAATCCCAAACCCAATCTTAACAACTCATGCCTACTCTGGGCCCATCTCACATGACATCTTTTGGAAAACACTCTCATATGACAGCCCCAAATGTAGCCAACTACTCTTTTCCTGTGGGAGAGACGCCTGTGCTCTTTGGAGAATCTGGTGAATAAGAGAACTAGTCACTAAGGTGAGTTCTTAATCATAGGGGCCATCCAGGGGCGCCTGGGTGGCTCAGTTGGTTAAGCAACTGCCTTCGGCTCAGGTCATGATCCCAGGGTCCTGGGATCGAGCCCCACATCGGGCTCCCTGCTCGGTGGGAAGCCTGCTTCTCCCTCTCCCACTCCCCCTGCTTGTGTTCCCTCTCTCGCTGTCTCTGTCAAATAAATAAAAAAACCTTAAAAAAAAAAAATCATAGGGACCATCCAATAATGTCTAGTGTGACATTAAAACTAAACTCAGCTTTTTGACTGGAGTAATGAAGGGGATATAAAATAGCGTTAGGCTGGCAAGGAAGGTCATCAGTCCTCGCTGATCATGTTTGGACTTGATGTTTAAAGAGAGAAGAAAAATATGTAGAGCAGAAATTATGAAATTTATAATCAGCCTCAGAGGAGATTGAGATTTCCTTGGATGTCAATAATTATGTAAACAAAAGATTTCTGTCATTCCACAGTTTATTTTTTTTATTTTTATTTTTTAAAGATTTTATTTATTCATGAGAGACAGAGAGGGAGAGAGAGAGAGAGAGAAGCAGGCTCCCAAGGAGCAGGGAGCCCGATGTGGGACTCGATCCCAGGACCCTGGGATCATGACCTGAGCCGAAGGCAGACGCTTAACCATCTGAGCCACCCAGGCGCCCCGTCATTCCACAGTTTAAAGACTGTTCACTTATCTTTCTTGGTCAATGACATAAAGCACTTGGTTGGGAAGGGGCAGTTCCTTGACTAGGGGAAGGAACTGGGTCTATCTAGTTCACTTCGCTATCCCCAACATAGTAGATGCTTAATAAATACTTGTTGGTTGGAGGTCCAATTTGATACTCAAATAAATTATATTTGCATATTACTATTGTACATACCATGCACAAACGGATGTCAAAATTCATTTAATTAGTGTGTGGGGGGAGTATTAAAGTTTTAAAGACCTCCTATTTAAGAGTTTTTAAAATTCAACTGTTTTAACCTGGGTAAACGTGGTAGGCTCCCTGGTGTTACTCCTAGCTTTATAGATT